CTCGATAGTGGATGTTCAAGGCATATGACTGGAGAACCAGCATACTTGCTGAATATTAAAACTAATTCAAATGGAGAAGTTACTTTTGGTGATGGTGTGAGTAATAAAGTTATTGGAACAAGTTGCTTGAACTTGGGTGGTTTACCTAGATTAGATGATGTGTTACTTATGGATGAATTGAAGGTAAATCTCTTGAGTGTGAGTCAACTTTTTGACCAAGGTCTTAGTGTCAGTTTCTCTCGTGATAAGTGTTATGTGAAGAACAGTGAAGGTACATGTGTGCTTACAGGTTCTCGATCAACTGAAAATTGCTATTTTGTTGATGTTAATGAAAAATGTTTGCAAAAAAATGTTAGTGAATCTGAAATCTGGCATCAACGCTTGGGTCATATTGGATACTCTCACTTGGTCAAATTGTCTAATGCAGGTATGGTCCGGGGTGTTCCAAAAATGTCTATGAAGGAACATCCGATCTGCGAACCCTGTCAACTGGGTAAACAAACCCGTACATCTCATAAGCACTGAATCACATTTCTTCTAAACAAATCCTAGAAGTACTTCGCATGGATCTGATGGGTCCCATACAGGTTGAGAGTTACCAAGGTAAAAAGTATATTTTTGTGTGTGTAGATGATTTCTCTCGGTCTACATGAGTTGATTTCCTGAGAGAAAAATCTGACACATTCTCTTCCTTTAAGTCACTTTGTCTGAAGCTTCAAAATGAAAAATGTTTTTCCATAATTAGTATTCGAAGTGACCACGGACGAAAATTTTAAAATATTGAGTTTGCTAACTTTTATGACTCACTGGGTATTCTTCATGAGTTTTCTGCACCCAAGACCCCACAGCTGAATGGAGATTTTGAAAGGAAGAGTCGCATTCTTCAAGAAATGGTCAGGGTCATGTTGAACTCCAAGAAAATATCTCTTAGATGGTGGGCGGAAGCAATCAACGCAGCATGCTATCTTGTGAATAGAGTGTACCTTCGTCGAGGTATGGGTTTGACATCTTATGAACTCTGGAAAGGTAAGAGTCGTAATATTAGTCATCTACACATTTTTGGATGTAAATGCTTCATTTATAATGATCTTTAACAACTTGGGAAATTTGAAGCTAAATATGATGTAGGGTTCTTTCTTGGTTATTCTAACAACAGTCGAGCATACCGTGTATACAACATGAGTACCTCCACTGTAATAGAATCTATGAATGTGACCTTTGATGAGAAAACCTCTCATGTTGGTTCATCTATGTTTTATAATTCTTGTGAAAATGTTGTGAGTACACAGGATACTCAAGATATTCGCATTTCTGAAAACTGTGAGAACACTGAACGTATAGATAAAGGTGATGGGTCTCAAGAAATTCAGACAGACTATGAGGTATCTGCCACACTAGCAAGTCCCTCACAATCTAAGCGTGATCCACCCTTGAAGGTTCATAAAGATCATCCATCAAAACTAATCATTGGTGATCTCAATGAGAGAGTACTAGAAATTCGAAGAACTCAGTCAAGGAACTCATAGGTGTTTCTCACTTTGCTTGCTACTCCTCATTGATTGAACCTAAGTACGCTAAAGACGCTCTGAAAGATGAGTGCTGGATCTTGGCCATGCAAGAAGAACTTGAGCAGTTCACTAGAAATGACGTTTGGGAGCTAGTTCCTAACCTGCATCCAGAAATGTCATTGGAACCAAGTGGATCTTCAAGAACAAAACTGATGAGTTCAGGAATGTGACACGCAACAAGGCGAGACTGGTCGCTCAAGGCTACACTCAGACTCAAGGGAAAGATTTTGATGAAACCTTCGCCCCCGTTGCAATACTTGATTCGATACGTATATTTTTGTCAATTGCGTGTCTAATGAAGTTTCTTGTCTACCAGATGGACGTGAAGTCAGCTTTTCTAAATGACATTTTGCATGAAGAAGCGTACGTAAAGCAACCTGAAGGGTTCAAAGACCCCAAAAATCCAAATCATGTCTACAGACTCAAGAAAGCCCTGTACAGACTAAAGCAAGAGCCTCGTGCGTGGTATGAGTGTCTCACCATGTACCTTCTGGAGAAAGGTTTCAAGAGAGGGGGAGTTGACCAGAAATTCTTTGCTCTCCAAACGAACTAAACCTGTTGGCAGTTCAAATCTATGTGGATGACATAATTTTTGGGTCAACATCCAAGAAGTTGGTCAATCACTTTGTTAAACTAATGTCATCTGAATTTGAGATGTTTCTGGTAGGTGAACTTTCATACTTCTTTGGGCTTCAGGTAAAATAAGGTAAAGATAGTATCTTCATCAAAGCAAATATGCTATGAACCTTGTTAAAACGTTTGGTCTTGAAAATGCTAAAAACCCTCAAACTCCCATGGGCACGCATGTTAAGGTGTCTAAGGATGATGAAGGTACAACTGTTGATCAAACTCTTTACAAAAGTATGATTGGTAGTCTTTTATATCTTACTGCCAGTAGATCTGACATTTTATTTATGTTGGACTTTGTGCCAGGTATCAGTCCGCTCCTAAAGAATCGCACATGAAGGCTGTCAAGCATATTATAAAATATGTTGGAGGTACATCGGAGTATGGCTTATTCTACTCTTCTGGTACGAACCTACATCTTGCAGGTTATTGCGATGCTGACTGAGCTAGAAATCTCGATGATAGGAAAAGTACCTCTGGTGGTTGCTTCTATATAGGTTCAAATTTGGTGTCCTGGTTCTGTAAGAAGCAAAACTGCATCTCTCTCTCTACTGCTGAAGCCGAGTACATCGCTGCTGGCAACTGTTGCTCACAATTGGTCTGGATGAAACAAATTCTCTCTGAGTATGGTATGAAAGTTCATTCTTCTCAACTTTCTGTGACAACACTAGGGTAATAAATATTTCGAAAAATCCAGCCAAACATTCTAGTACCAAACATATTGACATTCGATATCATTTTATTCGTAATTTGGTGGAAGATGGAGTTATTGTGTTGGATCATGTACCTACAGAAGATCAGCTTGCTGACATTTTTACATAAGCACTTGATTCAAAATGCTTTTGGCACTAAGGAAATCCTTAGGAATGTGTGCTATATAATATCTATGCATAAGCGACAGTTGTATTTGTATTTGTATAAGTGTCGCGTCTAAGAAATTCTCTGCATTTAGGCATTGTAGTATGTAGGTTCATCCCTGGAAGATTCCTTGAATAATTTTCATTGGTTGGTGGTTTATGGATTCTAACTGATCAGTTTGGTGGAGCTCGTCATATAATTATTTATATAATACACGCATTAATATTTATTTAATATTAATAAGGATTAATTACAATTAAAAGCAATTAGACGTTTAATAATAACAACAACAATAATAATAGTGCAATAATAAATATAATAAATAATTCCAAATAACTCATAGAAAATGGGGCATTACACAATAGCTTCAGATTCGTTCATCATCACCGTCGACCGCACTCAAACAGCGGATATCCATTGCTTGCAACCCATCGTGTCCTTCTGGATAGACTACCATCAATTCGACCTGGTCCACTTTCTTATGGCGTCAAAGACGGAGAACAGCAGCAGATCTGCAAATCTAAACCTGTCCCCTTCTTTGTGGCCGACGGCCTGCCACTCGCAATCCACCGTCGCTGGCTGCGGAGACACACATCAATTCAGCATGTGGTCCATTTTTCATGGTTTGATAGAGTGCGGATCTAGAAATTGATTATATATTTTGGTGTCGGTCATTCAATCTATTGGTTCCTCTGGTTAATGCATTTTGTAAAATTTTGATCGATTAATTGAAGAACCGGAGAACCGGACCGATTATACATGGTTCGGTTCAAAAATGGTTCTCCAAAAATCCAGGGCACAAACCGAACCGAATATAGCCATGAAAAACCGGTTCCGGTTCGTTAAAAAATATATAAAAACCGGACCGGTCCCACCCCTAATTGAAACTCCCACCATGATTTGAGAATGTTTCATTAGGATAAGGAATCCTCCCTATATATTATTCCTGAATGCGCTGAGCCTACGTGGCTGCTTCTGGTGCTTCAGAACTCTACTTGGCAAAGAATCATGCTTCGTAATTAGGTTTGGACAAATAATATTGATATATTAATAATTAAAAATTTAGGTTTGGACATTCCATAAATATTATTTAGCTAACTTAGGTATTTTAATATCGCTTGTACTAATATAACCTTTTATTTCTTTGTAATTTTACATACTGAGGCATTAAATGACTAATATATCCCTAACCTTTGATTTGTTTCCTTCAATTAGCTATTGAATTATAAATGTATTTTAAAAGTTGATAACTTTTGTATTTCTTATCGGTTTTACATATATAATATATCAAATTAATCATTTTTTGATGATCTTCGATTTGACATCCATATTGTATATATGAAATAAATAAATTATATTTATCTTTATAATAATAAAAATTATAATATGTATTAAAATTCATTAGAAAAATAAAATTATTTCTCAATTGATATATTTATGTTTAATGTAGTTATATGTTGTAAGATTAAAAAATTATTATAATATAACAGATGTAAGTTGCACAAATATAAAGTGTCATACTAAATAAATAATAATATATATATTTTTATAAAAGATATTTAAATTTTCAACTATTTTTTCTTATTAATTTTAGATTTTAAGAAAAAATTAGCAAACAGCCGTGTAATACACGGGCGTTGTACTAGTTTATTTTATTTACATGTGAATTGAAACCAAAAATAAATAAAAATAAAAACCAATTATATCTGCTTTTACTGTTTTAAAACAATTTAACTCATTTTGAGAAAAAAATTTCGCTGAAAAATAATTTTTCTATTGATTAATTAATCTATAATTCCAGCATCACAATTTAGGGGAAGAATAGGCGAGAAATAACATATAATCCTAAGACACAAAACAGAGAGACTGAAAACTTTCATCCCTGCATTCGAGGAACATTTCATGCCCACTACACACACGCATATATATGTCAACACAAACGCCTAATCACGCCATTTTCAAAAATGGATAATTTTCATGTTCAGATTTTTTCCCGCCCCAATTCTTATCGATGAAGGCGTCCACTATACGCTGGAACTCCTCGTTGCTCAGACTCTCTATCTCCGGCGCCCTGTACTCCAAATCCTCTTTCCGGCGGCTCTCTGTCTCAGATCTCCGGAGCTCCCGCGGCGTTAGCGCCGAGATCTCACGCCGCAGCTTCTCAGACTGCGTCCTCTGGAATCTCTCTATCTGCCTCGCCGCCTTCTCGATCGCCTCCGCCACGTCGTCGAACGGCGGATTCTCCGCCACCAGTTGCTTCTCTCCGCCGCCGCCGCCGACGGACTCCACAACCCGAGGCGGAGGCGGATCGTGTTGAACCGCGGCCGCTGCCTCGTTGTACCGGACGTAATCATCATAAAAACTGCCGCCGCCAGATGCGGCGACGCTAGCGTCGGTGTTGCGGCAGAGCGCAACCAGAAGGACGATGATGGCGTTTCCGATCAGGAAAACGATGTGGTGGTTGAGGAGATAGTTGGAGAAGTCCGCGAGGCAACCGCCGGCCGCCCTGGCAACCCCCGGCGCACGGCCGGAGGACCACGAAATCAGCCCTAAAACGAGGAGGACCTCGAAAAACTGCCACAGATCGGCGAATCTCCGGAACCTGTTGAAGCTCGCCATGGCCTTCTCCTTCTCCTGCTTCAAACTGTCCATAATAATCTGTCGAAATTCAAAAGAGGTCCTCGGAGTTGCAGAAATTGATCGGAAAGGATAATTGCAGGGGTGAGAGAAGAGAAAAAGGCAGGGTGGTGAAAATGAATATGCTTTTTCAATGGAGCATATATACATAGAATAGAATCGAAGGAAGTTGAGGGGACTCTGGATAGATAATGGATATGATGTTGACGACGGTTTATTTGCGCTTTGAGAGTGCGTGAGAGAGAAAATAGGTGTGTAGTGGGTATTACCGAGTACTAACCCAACTCTAAAAAGGGGAGGGTGCGTGCTATGGAGGTATGATCTGGTGTGGTGTACCGTTTTTATAGATGGGTGGGTGGGGGCTTTGATTTCATTATTATTGCCCTTTGTTACTCATCATTCAATAATGCCAATTTTGAATTCTATATCTGATTTTTTTAAATAATGTATCGATTGATTATTGTAAGAAAGTGTGTATATGTATATTTGGTCGTATACTAATGTACCAATTTTATGAAGGGGTGGCTTTGTATTTAGTTTGTTTGGTGAAACATATTTCGGCAATAACTCATGTATAATAATATATTGACAAGAGTTTAAGAATTCTCCATTAATTAATTAATTCAATTAATTAATTAATTCAATTAATTAATTCTGAAGGTGGGGCATGTGGTAACAATCTCGAAACCCAAGGCCGTGAGACTGGATGGTCTCATGTTTCGACCACCTCTAAAGGTGGGACATGTGTTAGAAATCTCGAAACCCATCATGATTATGGCCGTGAGGTTGGATGGTCGCATGCTTCGACCACCTCTGAAGGTGGGGCATGTGTTATAAAAATCTCGAAACCCATCATGATTAAGGCCGTGAGGCCGGATGGTCGCATGCTTCGACCACCTCTGAAGGTGGGGCATGTGTTAACAATCTCGAAACCCATCATGATTAAGGCCGTGAGGCTGGATGGTCGCATTCTTCGACCACCTCTGAAGGTGGGGCATGTGTTAAAAATTTCGAAACCCATCATGATTAAGGCCGTGAGGCTGGATGGTCGCATGATTCGACCACCTCTGAAGGTGGGGCATGTGTTAAAAATATCGAAACCCATCCTGATTAAGGCTGTGAGGCCGGATAGTCGCATGCTTCGACCACCTTTGAAGGTGGAGCATGTGTTAACAATCTCGAAACCCATCATGATTAAGGCCGTGAGGCTGGATGGTCGCATGCTTCGACCACCTCTGAAGGTGGGGCATGTGTTAAAAATTTCGAAACCCATCATGATTAAGGCCGTGAGGCTGGATGGTCGCATGCTTCGACCACCTCTGAAGGTGGGCATGTGTTAAAAGTTCTTATGTGTATGGTGCAATACATGAGGGGTGCATGTTATAGCGAAGTTCTGGGTAGTCAACCGAGTGCAGAGCGAACACATCAACATAATTAATAAGAAGAGCCGTCGAAGATGCATGCAAGAATATCAGGTCAGCTCATTCCAAAAGATCATCGACAACAAAGACAAATCAAACAAAACATTTACATTCTAAAAGATCATGAAAGATCGTCAAAATACATAGCTCAAATTCAAAAGAAATAAAACAAAAAATACAAAGCTAATCTAAGGAGGAGGGGTTGCGGCCGAGTCGGCGTTGCTCGAGTTGGCATTTAGCTCAGGCGGATGGCTAGTCCCGGAAGTCGAGTCGCAAGCTTTGTTTAGTGGGCGCTGTCGAATAGACTCAGCTAACACGGCCAACATGAGAGCTGGAGCGTTCATGCCGTCGGGCAGAGCATAAGTTTTCTTCAATACATCTGATCGAGCCAAGGTTCTCTCGAGCAGTCCTGACCACCACTCGTGCTCGGGTGGTAAGTTAGGATCGCCCTGGAAGCTAGAAGGAACCTTGGGCAAGGTATCCCAGCTAGCCCCAGGGTCGAGTTACTCGAAATCGTCCTCGGCGATCTGTTCGTCGGCCTTCTGCAGGGCGAACTGAAAACAGTCCACCCCAAAATCTTGGACCTCCTTCAAAAATTGGGGTTACTTCATAAAGTCGGCCACCACTTGTGCGTGGTACTCACGGAGGAAGAGCTGCCCAGTAGTCGTGCCCCACATCATTTGCCGAGCTCGAAGAGCCGCAGCATCAGCGTAGCGTTTACATTGGCCAACATGGGCAGCCCTCTCTTTGGCCAAGGTCGCCTCCAACTCGGCCCGAGCAGCCTCTGCCTGAGTCCGAGTACTCTCCGCTTGAGCTCGAGCAGTTTCCGCTTGTGCCCGAGCAGCCCGCTCCTGCCCGAGCGCAACTTCCTTCTCCTTCAGCGCGACTTCTTTCACCGCCACGGCCACCTCCTTTATGGCGAGGGCGGCCTCTCTCTCCGCGAGAGCTTTGTCCTTTTTTGCGAGTTCTCCGTCAAGAGATTCAATCTTGACTTCAAACTCAGTCTTTTGCTTGGTTTGTGTCTGTGGGACTTGGCGTTGTGCTGCAGGAGGGTCGAATTCTTGTCCTGCAAAAAGCCAAGAGCGCCCTCGAGACTCTTTATTGACTTCCCAGAGCTGTCTCGAGCCTCTTTGGCCAGAGGCAAAAATTAAACCAAGCCCTATAAACAAAGACAGTAAGGCAGTTCAATCCACGTGTCGAAAAAGGATGGTAGGGAGGAATTAATACAAGTTCAAGACAAGTAATACCTGGGCAAGCCATTGCACAAGCTGGTCGCCAACTTCGGGCAAAGTGGCACTGGCCTTTTTGAGGTCATCCTCGAGGAGGGCACCCTCGAGACGCTCGACCACTTCGTTCACGGAGGCCATTAGCAAGGAGGTAGGTTTTGGGGCCAGCGGGTCAGGCCAAGAATGGCTGGCACGCCCCCGTTTCCAGACCATTTCGCCTTGGTCGATGCGAGAGCACTTCCCC